TGCCGCTCCACTGGTCCGCCGTGATGTAAGCACTTCTCCACCACGTTTGACGCAAATTTGTGTTGGCTCATTTGCACTATTTGCCCAGCAAGCTTTGTGATGATCTCGCTTCGCTCGTGATCTCGCCCATGCTCCAGCACGTGCTGAACAGCACAACCCGCACAGAGAAACATAAATGCCAAAAAACGCCACTACCACGCACCGCCGCTAACTCCACGTCATACCACAAACCATGGACCCACACAAAATCACCTAACCAACCGTCTCCATGCATGCACTCTCGGAAATCTCAGCACTCCCACTTCCTGTCCACGCATCCCGTCCATGACGATGCACTGCCAACCCACCCGTCACGCCCCTCACCTGTACCACATAGTTGCCATACTGGTCCTGGGCCAGAGTACAAGTCGAACGTAAAATCTCCTCCATGATCCCCTTCTGCTTCTGCTCGTCCGTGCAGTGCTCCAGGACTCTCTGAAATCCATCCAAATCCCGACACCACAACCCGTCAGCTCGCCTCATCACCCAATAACTCAACGCCTCACACCTCCTCACAAAGCCACCCTATACTGCACCATCACACCCACACACCACCGCCACCACTTCAAGTCCCGCTCGTTCACCTGAATCACCCGGCATCCGTAAGGATGCGTCGACAAAGTCACCACCTGGTTGTAAAACGCAGATATGATGAAATGAATCTTCGCGGGTGGCACGCATTCGATGCATTTCTGGATCACGTGGTTCCCGTTCTGGTCCCGCACACACCGCATCACGTGCCCATCCAACTCCGACACCAGCTGCGTCTGTTGGTCCACGTCCACCACCTCCAGCGCCTGCACGCACACCACATCCCACGTCCCAACTGCGTTTACTCACTGCGTCCAAACCCTGCTCGACTGTGACATACTTGCTCCTTCCGTTCTTCCGCTCCTCATCACAACAACAAACCAACTTCACCATGAAAATAGTGGGACTTACCTTCTGAATCACTCTGCAACCGTACATCTGCAGACTCAGCGTCAGAACGTGCTCCACCAACTGGCTCGCCAGCTCCCTCCTCTGCTGCTGAGTGCCGTGCTCAAAAAACTGCCCCAGTCACACACCGACGTCAACTTCCCACCCTTCATCACAGACATCACACAAACACAAAACAAAACTCGCCCACGCTTGCCACGCTACCCTTATCACAACCACTTCCACCAGCCCAAACCGGATGGCCAACATCCTACCAGTTTCTGCCACTACTTCACAACCCACACCTCCACATCCAACTCCTCCTACCTTCTGTATCACGTAGTTCCCGAAAACGTCCGTCATCAGCGTCAGAGCCCGAGGAAGCACCTCCTGGAAAACCATGTTCTTGTCCTCCGGGCTTGCCGTCTCCAACTTCTGCTGAATGAACCGACTCCCGTGCTGATCGGCACTGCACTCAAACATGACAAACACCCCCCCCCCCTCGTCATATCCCTGCATCGCACTTCTCCACTCCAAAACACTCCCCCACATCTCATTCTAAGCCTCGCGCCCCACATACCATCACATCGATCCAACACATTCCATCATACAACCCGCCGCCGCCCATACCTGAACTCCACCACGTGGCCTGCAATGTCCGACAGCTCGAATCGTCTCGTCTTGCTGTTCTTGAACTCCTCCAGCAACGTCGACCCCCGTGTCTCCTCCGGCGTCTCGCTCGTCTTCTGCCCTTGCCACCCCCCGTACGTCGTCCCGCTCGCAGACCCCATGTTCCCGGAACTAGTTCTCGATGCCCCGGACAGCCGCAGGCTGCGCTCGTCGCGCCGCACCGCAAAGCTCCCCGCCCCCACTGGCGACCCCGGAAGCACCGGGCTCGCCAGAGGCGAATTGTTGTATGGCATCACCCCCACTCCGGGAGGACTGCCATAGTACCCTGGGCTCACCGACCCGCTCTTCTGGCTCGCGATCGGGATCCCCATCGACCCCGTCCTCCCAAACTGCGACTTCTGCTCCGCGCTGTACCCTCCCAGCATCGCATTCAGCTGGTTCTTCTGAACCTCCGCCATGTCCACGGGACCTCCTCCCATGTAATTCCTCAGCGCCGCAGGATCCAACGCCGCTGCCCTGGCCTCCTCCGCCGCACGCATGTACTGCAAGTACAGCGGATCGTGCATCTGCGGCGATGCTCCGCCTGCATACTTGTACAGATTCTGCATGTCCACCGCTGCCTGCGCAGGAGATCCGGGGACGCCCGCTCTCACGCCCATGCTCGCAAGGGCAGCTGCGGTTGCGGGATCGAACACCGGGGGCGAGTACCCCGCCATCATCGGGGCCAGCATTGCAGGATTCATAGGGTATCCACCCAGCCCATACTGTGGACCGTAAACGCTCGCGGAGTTCATGCTTGGGTAGTACGGATTCTGCTGTGCCATGTACATGGCCGCCGCTGCAGCCGCAGCATACATATTCGCTGCCGCTGGATTCGTATTCGCCCCCAGGTTCGCCTGGAGCCCCGCTGCACCACCTTGTTGACCTCCCATCCCACCCACACCAAACTTCGGCTGACCCCGGTACCCAGACTCCACGCCCGAATACAGCTGCTGCTGCAAAGCTTGTGAATATGCCAACGCCTGCAAACGTGCAAACCATAAGTCTCATCTGCGTCGCCAACCACGCTACTTGCAACTCTTACCCACTCACCACCAACTTCGCACATCCCTCACCTCCCAAACCCACTGCACCATCCCAACTCCACCACCTAAAACCAAAACCTGTGCACCTCACCTGCGCTGCCTGCGCGGCTTGAGCTTGTGCCTGTGCCTGTGCCTGTGCAGCTATTTGAGCCCGCTGCTGCTGCTGCTGCCGCTGCGTCTGTTGCTGTTGCTGCAGCCGCGCCTGCTGTTGCTCCTGTTGCAGCAGCTGCTGCTGCTGCTGCTGCACCCCTCTTTCCTCCCGCGCCGCCGCCAATCCTTGCATATCCGACACACTCAGCCCCTGGAAGGCTGTCTCGAAATCCGCCGTGCTCGCACTCACCGACCTGCTCATCTGCATTGTCATCTGGGCAAAGTCCGCAGCGCTTGCACTCGCGGCTCGACCCAGCCCCACTCCCCGTCCGTCCGAACTCGAGAAAGATACGCTTCCTCCCCCAAGTGCTGAACCAACCATCCCACCCAAGTCATCCTCCAAAACACCCCCACCCGCGTCCAACACCAACCTCAACGCAATCCATCCCCTTGCCACTCAGCTCCCCCACATCCCTAACAATAACCATCCCCACAACCGCATCACTCCCCAGAATCGCGTCCACCATCCAACGCATCCCACTCCACAAACCACACCCCTACCTGATACGCCGCCCATCCTCGCCAAACTCGGACTCGCGGAACGGACGGTCCCTGCAAGCGAAATCTCGGGAGTGGGTATCCTCGGCACTGGCGCTGCGGGTCCCGAAGATTGGTGCAGGCTCGATACGCCGGGAATCGGAGTCGTACTCCGAGACCCCATCCCGCCTGCCACGGCATTCGACTCTGCCGCGCCCGACTCCCGCAAATGGGCTAACTGCAGCTCCAGCACCGCGTTCGCAGCTTCGCTCTCATCGTTTGCGGCTCTGCTTGACGACCGAGACAGGTGATACACCGGCGACGGTGTTCGGGGAAAGTCCTCCTGTCCAACATCACACCCACAGTTCCCACTTCTCGTCACACACACGCGCACT